TATCGCCAGTGGTGATATCGCCAGGAATACTATATCTCAAAAACCTATTAGCTAACACATGTTGAAGGTACTAAATAAAAATATTTAAAACCTCCAAAAACCTAACCTTAACAAAGATTTGGACCCTTATACCTAACTCTAACCTTGGTCTAAAATTGCACTCTATCTCTAAATTTGATAAAAGAAATAGAAGGTGGTCGTATCACCACTGGCGATAAATGCTAAAATCCTTTTAATAATTAAAATACTGTATATTATTATTCAAATAATTATAAATTTGAATGTTTAAACCTTTATTTTTAATTACTATTAAAAAGAAGTTATAAACATTAAAGATGGTAAAAAAAATAGGTATGACCAATTTAAAACAGGTGATAATTAAAGTCCGAATAGTTAAATCTGAATTTGAATATATTTAAAGCTCCCGTTTTTAATAACGTAATAAGCTTTTGCCATTCTTATTAAATGTTAAAAATAGTCAAACTTAATTTATAACAAAGTAATGTTTTTTTTGCAATTTACATGTGTTGATTTGACTATAAGACCATATAAAATTAATTGTCGCAGATGCAATTTTTAAAATTTTTGAGGTGCATTTTCTTTTAGGATCAGGTTAGAATATAGGGTCAAAGTTGTTAATAAAAGAGTATAAGTGGATTTTGGTAGCCTATATTTTCAAATCGAGACCCTCAAATTTCAATATCGCATTATCCGCGACATTAATTAATCTGTTTTCATAATTTGGAAGGGTCGAAATTTAAAAACTATAAGAACTTTAAGAAAATTTTCATATATGTTAATAACAGGTGTTAAAAAACAAATTTTATAAAAATTTTTAGACCGGTCAGGTAAATTTTCATATCATGAATACCAAGGAATTGTGTAGCCTAATAAAATTTATACCCTGATCTGCATGACAAATCGTGTGACTGGTCGCGCAGAGGCGTACGTACATTCTGTACATTGCTTCCAACAAAGAGACACATAATTACATAATAGGAGATATTCGAACAATCACAGATTATGAATTCTTTAATTAGAGATTTAGATTTTATGAATAGATCTCTCCGACGTACGTACGTGCGTTTTAAGGGATGAATTGAGTATATTTATATACTCCCCATCCTCATTATAATTGTAGATTAGTACATGGTTATGAATGTATAAATACACATATTAACACTGTTTAACATAATAATATTTTGTCAGACACTGAATGCTACATAACGAACAATTAATTGGTGAATAAAATTGATTGTAAGAAATATATTATTTAATTTATTTACTAAAAAGGATAATTCAATGCAGATTACATATATCGAAATAAAAACTTTATTTGGTTGGTTCTAACATTAGCCGACCGTTTGCTTTATCTAACACAAGTTTGGAATTTGTTTCTCATCGTTTTTTCCTTTATTTTCTTTCGCAAAACTAGCTCATTCCTTCTGGTAAGTTTGTATAGATAATTTTGATGGAAAAACTTGAAATCTTATTAATATTTATCTTTTTACATTAATGTACAGTTTTAACCAAGGGTTTTTAATATTAAGGTATGATACAAAATTTTTATAAATAATGTGAAAATTACATATCGATGAAAATGCTTGGATTACACTAAATTGGGATTTGCCGAATTTCGGATTAAATAAATTATTCAGTTTATACGTATACATGATACTTTAACATCATTTCATTACTTATAGGCAAAGGCCCTGCACTATTTTCTTTCAACATTAAATTCCTCATCATCAATTTGTAATTATAAAACACATACATAATACACGATGCACAGACAAAAGCAACAATCATTGGCAGACGTTAAGCTTCGGCGGTTAGTCGACTTTAACCAAAGGCTTCGAGAAGATTTAGATCGTCCTCGGGTACGTGTCAGCGAAGCAAGTAATAGGTGTGTATTGTATTTAGATATATTTAAGGTACACTTTCGGACACAGATGCTAGCAACTAATATTAACTGATGTCTATTCAAGTTTAATCCTATATTGTAGAAACACTAGAGATTTCTTAGTACCATCCGTCTGGGGACCTGTTGATAGACGCGACGATCCCTATGCTCCATCTGGTGGTGGTTGCATTTGTATCGTTATGTAAAAAGTGCTTATTTTTTAGTATATTACATATAAAGATAGTCATGCTTCATTTCATCATTACCTCTCCTTCCACAAAGTATCATTTTGTATCTTTGTTAATAATGTTAATTCAAGGAGTGTGGCTCTTATCAAAGGATCGTATCTCCTATTAAAAATTCTTGACAATTTGGAGTCGCATCCTTCTGGAAAGGTGTTGCTCCTTCCTTTGTACAAACTTTAAAGAAAATGGTGAACCGTTGAGTTATATACATATTTGCAAGGGGGTTAAGTTTTGTGTAATTTTTTTTTGGTCATATTTTTTCCATTTCAATAGAATTTAAAGTTAAAAAAAAAAAAGGAACTATTGCTTTTCGGTAACATATTTCTTAATGTATCTTTCCCATCCAATTGACTACCACTCAATCAAGGTGTCATATAACTTTACACCACTCAATTTAGTTCCTTGTGATTAGATCGAAACATGTCACTCTTTTTTATAATTCTTTTTAATGTAATCCTTTTTCTCTAGAACACATTGCAATTTATTGTAAATTGTCAATTTGTATTGAGATATTATGATAATTTTTAATATAAATAAATTTATTATACAGTACTATTACAAATATTCAGGATGTCAATTAACAAGAAGCTGGGATAAAAATAAAAACCATTAGAAATCACATTAAGATAATCGATCTTCAAAATGCTTTTGTTTTTTTTATTAAGAGGTAAATTGCGGTTAAAAGGGTATAAAAAATAGCAAATTTAATAGTAGAAATTGTATGAATTTAATTTACAATGAAAAGTTTTTTTTATGTCAAGCAAACCTTTTTTGAGTTCCTAACAAATATTATAGAGCAAGCTATTCTGGTTCTAATAGTGGTAGAATTATTAAACTTGGTTTAATAGATCGCGAGTTATTGGCATTTTCACTTTCATGACAAAATGATTAGGGATGTGAAGTTCGTATTGGTTTGGATTGATTTAATATATATATGCAGTAGCTGCATATATTAAACCAATCCAAACCGAACTTCCCCATCCCTAAAAATGATTTTTACATATCGCCAGAAACTTTCGGCATTCCAACATTATATGAATTCTCCGCCGACTTTTACTATGTAATTTATGCCCTTTCAACTGTGATCTACCATTTAAACACTGATGTAGACATTAATTACATTTTAATGGAAATTTTAGCATGTCCGTTTTCAGTTGGTTTAGTATTAACAATTTTCGTTTATATTGCTTCTAGTAACTGCGTTTAGTATTATGATAAAGGCTATATTTGTTTTTAGGTTATATGTTATTTGCTTAGTAGGTGAATATTTGGATTATAAAAGAGCACTGTAATCAGATATTCTTTTTAAATTTTTTTAATTGGTTTAATAATTTTTTCATATAATATTTTTTAAAATAAAAAACATAGTTCAGTGTTGTTTAGACTACTAATTACTTTTAATTCTGAACAAATTTGCAGTTCGTCTGGCCAAGTTCAGAGTTGTTTGATCCGACCACCCTCAATTATTTTTATAATTCAATTCTCTCTATCCCGTTCTTATATGTAAAAATATCAAAAAGTTTAATTGTAAAAATATCAAAAAGTTTAATTCTAAAAAAGAGTTACTATGTCGCTAATCCGAACTTTATAATAAAATTTACAAATGTTCTGAAGCTTTGTGTTCGGTTTTTACAGAGTTTATTAAGGGTTCGGATGGAACCACTTAGCTGCCATTCGGAATGTCTAATTTTTTGACTTTGACTATATAGTGTAGATGGTATTATTTCTAATCATCAATCAATAAAATTTATATAACAGCATTTTACAAAATTACAGACCTTGAACTTTCAAATATACAAAAAGAAGTCACACTTTGCCAATAGGCAAATTATGCTTTAAAAATACAATAATTGGATCAAATATTATATATATAGACGATCTTATTAAGAAAAATCGATTAACCAATTGATTCAACAATTTAGCGTTGATAAAAAAAAAAATATATTAAGTACATTTCTTTATAATCTTTTTACATCTAATCTTTGGAATATTGTAATAAATTTGGGAAATATACAAGTTTTTTCTCGAGCAATAATCAAATTGGCTTAAACTAAAATTAATCAATCAGAAGCAGATAAAATAAACAGCTTAGCCTAACTGGATGTAAAATCGTGACTAGAGGTGCAGGTTAACGTGCCGTAACCATATCCACCGATTTTTTAGGGGTCGAACTTATGCCGTGAAGAATAACATACGAAACATTCATTAAAAATGTTTTTTTAGCCTCTATATGTCTATATGAGATAAATAAGCATTCTGAGCCGTAAAGAAAGCACTATCACTAGTTGTTGATGTGTTCGGGTTTTTTGGGTAGTAAGCGATCGGTTTGTCATTGTTTGATCGGTTGTATAATGGGTAAGGGCGAATTCGGAAGCAATTTTTGAGAAAAACGGTTTTTTAACTTACTTTCAGCTAATAATGAAACATGTAGATATTGCAATATTCTATACACTTAATTATGGATTCAAAGTAAGTAAAAAAAACCGTTTTTGTAAATAAATTTTAACGACAAATAATTCTCAATCATGATTGGCTAATTTTGGGGTCAAACCAAATTGGTGATATAATTTTTAACAAAATTTTCGCAACAATAGATAGTCCATATAGTAACCTCCAAAAGTTTGTAACTTTTTTTAAATCAAGATTAGTGGGATTGAACATTTAGATAAAGTTAGTAAGAAAAAAAGGTGTTTATTCACAATACGATAATAATGAGTTAAATTTTGTTGTTCTCTGTGTAATAATAATAGATTTTTAGATGTTACATTGACCCGAGTTGTAAACTTCGACCCGGTTGAACCGTTTTGACACGGGTGACCGGTTTACTATAACTCGTTTCTAAACTCTATTTTTTACCATCTCTAAGTTGAGAACAAGTACCCTATTGTGAATTAATATAATTAGTTGAATGTTTTATGTTAAGAATATATACCAATATACGAAATGCGAACCGTCTTCAAAATCTCGTCTATTTTTGTAGAAATGCTATTACCGATGCCTTTTAGTTTCCGTGCTTCTTCGCCGGAAGTTATTTGTTTAGGATATATAGAAATTGACTTTATCGCATTATGATATGCTCTTTCTCGGTAAATGTCACCTGCCTTTTTTTCCTTTTCTTCTAAGGCTTGTAATTGTTCGTTCGCCATGTTCAATGTTTTCAAAGTGCGTATTGTTTAATCCGCCATGATTTTGATATACAGTACTGGACGGCAAAAAACATCTATATAAAATATAAAAATGATTATAACTCAGAAACAAATAACTTTAAAAAAATCTGTTTTACAGATTTGTTGCATTTAGTCTAACCTATAATTCTATTAGAATAGATTTATATTTTTCTTAGAAGATTGAAAATGATTTCGGCTTAAAGTTTATATGTAATCAAAAATTTAGCGACCTATGTAATTTTGACCAATCAGAATTGGCTATAAACAAATTAACTGATCAGAATTGATTACATAATTCTCAAATTCGAAATAATAAAAATAATATAAATAATATTGGATGTTTTTTGCTGTCCGGTACTGTTTGCTAATAATACCCTGGATCGTATGTGTACGAACTGAACTGAACGTTTCATTTCGTTCACACTTAACAACCCAGGATATTATTATTACATATTTCTTGAAAAGTCATATTCCTCTTTTACCTTTTAAGACTTTTGTGATATTCTCATTGTAGTTGATAGGTGGAACATTTTCTGTATAATGACGAAAGACAAAACCTAAAAGCGGCGAAGGACGAAAGACTATACCCTGACGGAACCCCAAATCTTTCTGATGTAAACCGAAATTTAAAATCGGAAATGAGGAAGGGCGAAACTTGTCAAGACCTTCACAAGAGTCGAGATTTAAAAAGATCAAAACGAAAGACTGGGTTATAATTAGTATGCCATTCATAATAATAATATCAAACAGTCCTTACCTTTCATAGATTGTTTTCGCGATTTGATAGTTTTTTGTTGTTTTAGACGCTTTGATTATCTCGAAAAGTCAAGGACAAAAAAATGGCTTCGAAGTATTTGAACCTTAAATGTATGGTGCTACCTTCTGATTGACCAATCAAGGTGCAGAAAAAATTCCTGAAGTTAGTGCAGTAGTTCTCAGGTGGATTTACCCTCTTACGGCATATAAAATTGGGTAACTACCCATTTACGGCTATGCCATATGTTATTTTCATGTTTTAATGCCTGCATCTTTAGTTAGGACCTTTTAGCTATCGCCTTATCCGGCTGCCGTTTGTTTTCAAAGTGCATTTTTTGTTACTATAGTAGTTAGCACGTGATTACACATATGCCCCGGCCACGATAAGACTATGCCCCAGCAGATTGTAACAATCGATTCACGCTATCTTTTCTACTATACAAATAAAAAATGTCTTCAGAAAAAGAGTCACCACCAACTTCAACAGAGAATACTCATATTTCAGCTCAATCAGAGATAGGAATGGGACGTCAGTCTCCCCTTCCAATAAATGAGGGACCAAGTAAAAATAATCAGCAAGATATAAACAAACTGACAGAAGAAATGTTTTTTAAAGTGGCCGATTATTTAAAGGGAGAGATCTTAGGTACCTTATTTAACTAACTAGTCTATTTTGATAATCTTTGGTGCCTTTTCTTTCAGCATCAATATTCTGAGGTTCGATTGATTTATAGTTAAAATTTATAGCTACAACTGAAGATTACAAGCTTTTAGAAACAATGAACAAAGTTACGCGAGAACGGTATCAGGAAATGTCTAAAATGGCACAAAATTTGGTTGTAGAGATGGCCAACTTTCAAAGAATCTGTATGCCCTTTAAATTTATATAATTTGACAAAGGTCATGTAATTTATAACAATCAGACTTGCAATTTATTAGATACTAGCTTCGAACCATATATTCAACAAATTGATGAAATATGTGAACAGGTCGATTTTTTGGAAAAAGTTGCTAACGAATTAGACGAATATTCAAAAGAATTGGGTATGCTTTTTTTTTTTTTTTGGTTCATAAGTAATTGTCCTGATTTACTACAATTAAATGTACTATTAGAATCGCGACTGAAGAATTTAGTTAAATAGATTTTCATAGATCTAATGTTTAACCCGAATTCCAGGCGGATGATAAATAATTTAATAGAAAATTTGTTCTCTGTATGTTTTTTTTTTCGTTTGTTTTATTTGATAATTTATGTATAATCGGTATTATAGGTTTGCAAGTTGAACTTGCAAATATATACAACACGACAAATTCATATTAAGATTCTGATATTAATTAAAAGCATGTATCTTATCGTTATTAAAAACATCTGTGATATACGTTTATGATAAGCATATGTCATTTCCATCGCTATTAATTGCGATCAGTTGGTTGCATAATGATCATGTAATTACGATATATTGCGTATCTTGAATATCATGTGATATATCATATCGAGGATAATCCGCACATGATTCTCTAGCAACGATCCCCACGTTGTTATTTATACATTTATACACGTATGTGTACCTGATG